AGGACGACATTGGGCCTCCATTCAAGTACTCCCTCAATGCAAGAATACTTTCTTCTATTAAATTGGCATTCTATGATGTTCACCTTCCCGACACAACCGCTGAAGGCAAAGTGGGTGAATAAGCAAATGTGGTGAAGAAAGCTGATGGTGCCCGGCTTTCAAAAGATACAGCATCTGGGGTCTTAAAAGCTTGAAGGTAAACAAGCGGCCATCTAGCTCAGAAACAACTAAGCCCACATGGAAGAAGCACACCAGCCTGTGCAACCACGAGGTGTCAAAAGGAGCAGGTATCAGGCATCATCAGAACAAAAAATCTTATCATAGTGAATGAGGGGGGGAGTGCGGAGTGGAGACTCAAAGCCCATTTGTAGGCCACTGGACAGAAGGGTCTAGGGGAGGAGACGAACCAGTCAAGGTACAGTGTAGCAACGATGAAACATGCAACCTTCCTCTAGTTCCTAAATGCTTCCTCCCCTTCTCCCACCATCATGATGCCAATTCTACCTTGCAAGTCTGGCTAGACCAGAGGATGTACAGTGGTACAGATAGGAACTGAAAACACAGGGAATCCAGGGCGGATGATCCCTTCAGGACCAGTGGTGTGAGTGGTGATACTGGGAGGATAGAGGGAAGGTTGGTTGGAAAGGGGGAACCGATTACAAGGATCTACATGTGACCTCCTCTCTGGTGGACGTACAACAGAAAAGTGGGTGAAGGGAGACGTTGGACAGGACAATGACAAAATAATAATTTATAAATTATCAAGGGTTCATGAGGGAGGAGGGAAAATGAGGAGCTGATACCAAGGGCTCAAGTAGAAAGAAAATGTTTTGAGAATGATGAGGGCAACCAATGTACAAAATGTGCTCGACACAATGGATGTATGGATGGATTGTGATAAGAGTTGTATAAGCCCCCAATAAAATGATTTTTTAAAGAAATTCTTATCACTGTGAATATAACACAAAAGCAGTCATATATAATATGTTGATGAATGAGTGTGGCTGTGTTTAAATAAAACTTAATTTAAGAACTCAGAAAAAGAAAATCGGTGGTAGTTTGATCCAACCAAGAGTGTGGGGAAGGCCAGCAGTAGTGGAGGATTAGAAACCCCCAATGCTATGCTGCGAGTTCCCAACAAGCGTGCTAGGTACTGAGAACGGCTTTCTCCTCGTTCCCCTGTGAGTTCCATGTTCGGTAGCTTACATGACCGTTTCTTGGTTGTGCTTGGACCGAGGTGTAAAGACACCGAAACATGCAGTAAGTCACTGAAATCATGCTGCCAGGGGCCTGGTGGAACCTGGTGATGGTGCTGATGGGCCAGGCGTATGCATTGTTCAAACATGGCCAACTGTACGTTATTGTAAATGAGTTAAACCTTAATATACCTGACTTAAAACAATGTCTGCCCCCCCTCCCCCCAAAAATAGCTGAGTGCATTAACTGTCTGCAGTATTCAAGGACTCCGGTGGAACCTCCTAAGATTCTTTTAACAGTCGCTCTGTTTGCCCTCTTTTGTAATGCCCCGCCCGGCCTGCCAGTACTCTCCCTGGGGCCTTTCTTTCAGGTATAGGCACACTCGGTGACTGGTGGCCCTCCCCCAAACCACTGTTTATGAGAGCCCATGCTCAGTCATCTAGGAGAGGAAATGCTGACTGCCCGTTCTTTCTCCCCCAGGGACAAAATCTGCCAGGGCGAGTCCTTTTTCTGCGTTACGTGGTGCAGACCCTGGAAGACGACTTTCAGCAGACTTTGAGAAGGCAACGCCATCACCTGCAGCAGTCCATTGCCAGCACCGTGCTGTCCTGTGACAAGCAGCCGCACAACGTCAGGTAACCTGCCACCGGAACCCTAGATTGGCAAGCGGTCGGGGTTGCGGCTGGGCAGCTACTGAGTGGAAGCTGTGTGCTCGCTTCCTCT